CTCATGATGAATCCGACTAATCCTCTTGAGCGGAACGGCGATTTCGTTAAGATGAAGCCGACTAGTGTTCTTCAAAGATTATAAATTTGGGGTAAACAATGGGTAATTTTGAGATCAAACTATAATCTGGTGGCCAGATAGACTAAGTTATACCCGTCATGAAGCTTCTTCGTAAACAAAATTACACATCATTTAACTAACAAAATATTTTATAAAAAATAATTCTCATGTTTTATTATGAATGATTCCGAATTTTCGATATTCAGTTGGTAATACTCAACGCAAAGTTATTCATTTAATGGAAAGCAAAAAAAAAGGAAAAAACAAGCTGAGCAACAAATGACATGCTTTATGAAAATTCTCATTGTACACAGCGGAACTTGTATTGCTCATCACACCGGGTACTTGCTCCTTACGTGAGCTAATGTGCAAGATATTTTGATTTACCGCCTTTCGTCAACCTGCGCTGCACTGAGTGGTCAAACTTCCGGTGCTAAGAACCGATAACACTTATCAGGACGAGTTAGCAGTCTGGAACACTTTCGCTTTTTTTTAACAAACGAGCAATATGCGAATATAAATACCAAAGAAACATCAATGACGAGCAAACTGTTTTTTTTTGGAATTGAAGTGTTGACCAAAAATCTACCGTGAATTTATTCCTAACTGAATCACCTCAACTGTGAATAATGAACTCGTCGCACACCCCACAACCTCCTTTTTCGTGTGCATAAACAGCTTTATCCTTTCCACCTCCGGCTCTTTACAGGTCTGTGACCTGCAATGCACAGCACAGCAGGAAATATGGTTGGCAATGGATGCTTTGTTAATGACCTCTTCTGCTACTAGCAGCATTTAGTGCCGCATTCAAACTTTTTCACACAGTGCATTTCTCCACTGATCATAATAACAGGAAAATGTCGAGTTGGCTACAAGATTGTCTTCATCTCACTTTGCTGCCGTCCTTCTATACTTCTTGGACCAAATCATTTCCAACCACTTCCATGGAATACATCAGTGCATGCCCCATGATTCCATCTCTCTATTCATAACCAGTGATTGTCTGATACTTTTTGGGCGCTCTCTTGCCGTTGCATAAGCATCAAAATGCAAATCTCGATTATATATGAAAGCACTTATGCGACGACATTCAGGAACAGAAACACATCCGGCGGTAAAGATCACTTAGGCAAATGCTGTGCATGCTAACTTGGGGCAAAGAAATACCAAAAAATTAAAAAATGGCCTAGGGCAACAGTGCGGTGCAGCATCGCAGTATAACCGAAAACAAATAGAAAATTCACAAATGGTAAATATACTTTCATATCGAAAACAACGCACCCCCTCCCTCCTATCTTCTTAATCCTCCTAACTATACTGAGATTTCCCATTCTGCATTTTCATTAACATCTAAACCAGTTAAACTCAACTTACATTTGGAGAAATTTCTAATTTCTGTTCCCGGTACTCTTCCACTTCCCTCTTCATCTCCGTTATCCTTGGAACATAAACTGCGAATTTTCTAGATCCATTACGATTTTCATCCTTACTCTGTTACCAACCGTACAATATTCGACAGAAGTAGGTGATATCATTAAAAACCCTTTCGTAAGTTGATTGAAACAGTTGGAGTTATTGTCCAGAACGATTGCAATAAATCATCATTCATTGTAGATATTGCTCACATAACATAATAGCTGTCCCTTAAAATATGAGGGTAGAGTTTACTGGATTTATTAAGTCAAACACATAAGTAAAATAGAGATGGATGTAGTGCATGCAGAAGCCATGTATTCTGAATGCCACCAGAAGCTGACTGACTCTTTCACGCACCGTGCTATTTCAGCACTAACATAATTCCCTCTTCCATAACAATGCCTCCCTTCAGCCCACGTACCCTCCACAACCACTGCCAATCAGACGCTCACGAGTGAATTGCGTTGTTCGAAGTTTGCGAATGCAACGCTAGTACAGCGCCTGATGTTTGTAAGGGTTCACACGCAGTTGTGGAATATTAGAAGGGGNGGGGGGGAGACAAGGAGGAAGTCACGTATGTGAATAAGTTGCGACACTGGTATTTTGACAGATGGTTGAGGTTAAACAAATTTTCACATTTTCCAGAATGAAGTCAGTGTAGGAAAGTGCAAGAAGAGAATAACGAGCCAGATGATTTCTGATGGCTCTTGTATATTCCGGTAACCTGATGGTGGCTGCTGCACGTAATTACTTGTCCATCGCGTCTGAAACGGACGGTGTTCTCCACCCACCAATGGTTTGTTTATGCCTGCAGTCCTAATTCTGTATTCTGTACAATGCTAATATCACAAATGGGCGATTCCCGTAGTTTTTCTTTCAGTTGCAGTAATAAACGTATTACTGTGGAAGGGGAATTTGTTGCTCAGTGCACATTAGTAAGAGAACAGGTTTATTTGAAACAATTATCACATTGAAATGTCCTCGCCAATTTTCAAACGATCTTGGGAACTTTTGCAATTGTCCTTGGAGAGAGGCTAAGCAGTTCTACAATGGGTAACTCGAGATCTGGGTGATATGTGTCCTAGATTACACAGGATTTTCGTCGCAACAACAATCCTATCTGAAATCAAGTCGAAGGTTTACTCTCCGACAATTTTCAGTGACGGCAAATGTGTTTGTTCATTTTGCGGATGAAAACGATAAAGCGATGTGCAGCAAAGATATGCTTGTGGGCAGACAGGTTTTTTACTTTCGCTTAATCTTATTAGTGGATCCATTTGACTAGCGGACTATTCAGACTGCTTACTTTTACGCATCATTAGTAATTATTTAGGGCGGCATTCGAATACTGTATACTTACTCGACGAGTGCAACTAACGAATGTTTTCATGGTTGATATCTAAAACTTTTCCTGGATTCGGCACGCTATCAGTCAAGCTATCTTCATAGGAGAAATGTTTATACATCCTAACGATCACTAATTAATTTTTTCCGGAAAGGTGATAGATTTCTTGGATCGTATGATATCCTTCGTATTCTTACAGATCAAAAAATCGTCGATTTCACAGATGGTAATGGTGCAAATGTTAAAAAATGGTATGCAGTCAGTTCAAAGGAGTGCCGCTGATTTCTTTTTTTTGCAAATACTGGGCGAAGGTTGTTTTTCTACGGTAAGGTTTATTCGAAACGAATGCACAACATATAGTGTCTTGCATATTACGATTTTGAGCTTACAGGTGTATCGTGCTCGTGAAGTATCAAGTGGAAAGGAATTTGCGCTGAAAGTGCTCAACAAAGATTTAATTCGACGACATGATAAAGTACTGGTTTGAATTTTTCCACCAAAAAAAAAAAAAAAAACTGAACGAACTAAAATTTACTGCAAAGTACTGAGTGAATGATATAAATTTTGCATCAACATCAAAAATGGTTGAATTGTTACTTTTCAAGGTAGTGTCGGTTATGCGTGAGAAAGACATAATGACTTCATTGACTTATTTGCACGGCGGACATCCATATTTCGTATCCTTATATTGTACTTTCCAGGATCCCACTCGTCTTTGTAAGTTTTTGCAATATATGCTATTTTTTCACTTGTTACTTCTGCATTCAAATTCTTCAAAAAGATTCATGAGATCATTTGTAGACTTTGCTATGACCTATGCAAAAAATGGTGATTTGTTAACATATTTACATCGTCTTGGTTCCTTCGATGAAGACGTAAGTTGCTGTTACGTGTTTTCTGTTTATGTGGTACAAGAGCAGTTTTTTAAAAAATTAAGTCCGAAAATAAAGAAGTTTATAAATCATAGTATGAATTTACAGTACACTGCGAACTGCAGTCATAGAAATACAAACATTTCTTTCCTTGATTTATAATTTTACAGGTGACCTTGTTTTATTCGGCTGAACTTGTATGCGCGATAGATGTGCTCCATAAATGTGGCATCATTCACAGGGACTTGAAACCAGAAAATATTTTGCTTGGAGAAGATTGGCACATAATGTTATCTGATTTTGGCACAGCGAAATTTATTGATTCAGAGAAAAGCAAGTTAAACATTACTAACATGTTGAATATAAAGCTAGTAAACGTCATTTTTTCACTGGGTTTGAAATTACAGATGAAACAGATACGAAAAGTGCTCTTCAGGAAGAACACCATCGTAGTCGATCAACATTCGTTGGTACTGCTCAATATCTTTCACCAGAAGTACTGGTGGATGGAGAAGTTGGCCCATCGTTAGTTTCACTGCGTTTGGAATGACTCATTCAAAACATTATAACAATCAATTTTTACTTATTCCAGATGTGATTACTGGGCTTTGGGTGCAATAATTTTTCAAATGGTTTCTGGATTGCCACCATTTCGAGCTATTAATGATTACCATACTTTTCAAAAAATTCAGAAGCTGGACTATAGTTTTCCCGAAGGTTTTCCTGATCTTTCCAAAGATCTCGTTCGAAAATTGTTGGTGCGTTTTAACAGTCACATTAAGTTTTTCCAGTCCATGAATTACTGCTTCCGGTTCATCATTATGCTAATATTATTCTATCTTTATTTCAGGTTTTCGATCCTAATAAACGTCTTGGTTCTGAAGAGACAGGCGGCAGTGAGGCTGTTCGTTCGCATCCATATTTTGCCACAGTTGACTGGAATAATTTGATCACAAAAACGCCACCGCCTTTTAAACCATACTTACCTGCCAGTTGTGGAGAACCAGCCTTCCACAGCGATTACCATTTTCCAGATAATATAGAACCCGGTCTTGATGATGCAGCGGTGACCCGCTTGCTAGGCCTTTCTTTAAAAGACTTCTGTTCTTCTAGGTTGGTTTTATTTAGTAACGAAGGGGTATGTGGATTTTCAAGAATTATGAAGAATTTTATTTCAGCCATAATAGTATTTTGGAAACAGAAGAACCAGAATCAATTGGATTGCGTGAAAAAAAGCTGAATATTCAGCGGAGAGAACACAAATACCATCGTTTTGTGGGGGGCAATTTGATCATTAAAAGTGGTTTATTGGATAAAAAGAAGGTCAGCCTTCGTTGTATGTCAATTAATTATTCAGTTTTCATATTTTGGGAGAGAGGAAGAAGTAAGAGGGTTTCTGAATCTATTGCACATATTTAGCTATGGGGGTACATTTCACCTGTTTCACACGTGAATGTTTTATATTTAATATGGGTGTCGATAACTTGGTTTAGGGATTGTTCGCAAGAAGAAGGATGTTTTTACTGACGGAAGGGCCACATATATTTTATGTGGATCCCATAAGTATGGAATTGAAAGGCAAAATACCGTTCTGTCGAAAGTTACGAGTTGAAGCGAAAAATTTTCGAACTTTCTTCGTGCATACGGTTTACTTATATTTTTACATTTTTTTTTAGCAAAGAAGAAGAGAGCAATCACTATTAGTTTGGGAGCAAATATTCAGAAATACCAACATTTCGATTAGTAATATTTTTAGCCGAGCCGTACTTATTATTTATTTGATCCGGAACGAAATGCATTGGAATGGTGTAAAGCAATAGAAGCTTTGCGTGAACAGTATCTAAATGAATTACCAGAGGAGCCGGATTCCCTGGAGAACAAAAATACTAAGCGGCGACGATAATGATGCCTATGTCAAGTGCATGCCAACAACGTTACGCTTTTAATTTAATATTGTTCGAAATGAGTGGTTTACATTACGTGAAATTCAGGTATCTATATAAGCGGATTATTAACGATTACAAGAAAGACTAGCATATATATTCACTTATGTGGATTCGAATAATTAAATTACAAACTCTGCAGTTACACAAAGAGAAACAGAGAAAGCGACTTTCTGCATTGAATTGTAATAAGCATTTTTTATTTTTACTTCTAGTTTTTCTACTGTTCTATTATCCAGTTATCTGCAGAATCCAGCGGGAGACATTTTTGCATCCCTGTGTTCTTGTCTTTCAACAAATATTTGTTATTTGTATTATAAAATTCTTCGTCATCGTATTGGTGCTGGAGTGAAGCACTGATATGTTTGAGTAGGAGAAACTTTTTTCTGGTATGTTTTTTAAAAGCAGTATTACGTATAAATATTAATATACAACAAATGGTTGCTTAGGAAACGTGTTTAAGTCCAACATTTATAGATAAATCGAACATTGTTTACCACACCTTGTTTCCAGAGCTTCCAGGAAACGCAGATATCTCTAACATTAATCAGTAGCGAATATAGTCGTTTTATGTTTAACTTTATGAAGTTAATGATTCGATTGTCTCTTCACAGCCATTGTTGTGAAGGGAACAGTGATAGCTGAAAAATAAGGATGATAGACATAATTGCTCAATTCTCTGCGTTGCACTTTGCAGATGTTAGATCAGAATCGGTATTGGATTTAAGCAGACTGCATATTGCTTTATAAAAAACATTTCGGTAATTCAATGCTATACTGTTCGCAAAACAAAAACAATTTGAGTATATTGAGAGCTAAAATTTAAACTTTAAATCAAATTTTTTTCCAAGGTTCAAATTCAATTACTTCTCGTTACTAACTTCCAAGCAGATTTTTCTTTATTCCGATTCGAAATCCTTTCAAGCAATTCTAATTCCAAGAAGTAATTACAGTTAATATTATTTGTTAAACATTATTTGAAAAAAGTATTTGCTGCTTTTTTCCAAGTGTTTTCGTAATGCTGGTGTGACAACACCACAGTACTGCAGTAAAAAGGGGATTATGGTTCGATTTACAAATTCAAATCTAAAAGAATGCGAAATCCAATACTATTACTTTCATTTCTTTCTCAGTTGCTTTTGGTTTCACTGTCCCTAGTAGTGAAATTCAATAATAAATTCTCATTGCTATTAACAGCAGTGTTTTTTGGTGAAGAACTGAAATGTCCAAAATTGACCATAAATAAATAGACATTCGAATTGGTTTTTCACAAAAATATTCATGAAAATTAATGCGTAAGCTAGCAACTCTGTAATTGGGAATGCGCTACTCCTTCCAAATTTATTTCAACAAAACTTTTTCAAGCCTTCACTTTGAGAAATTAATTCATGGAACATCTGAATGTTTAATTGAATGAAACATCACTACGATATAACAAAGGAAGAAAGTTGATCTTTGCTTTTGAACACTCGATGTTTCCCTAATGGTTCTAACTACATTGTAATCTTACCTTTTGGAACATTGCCCAACTGCACTGCCCGAAGTCTTGAATTAGAACAGATTCAGCAGCAACAGTTTGGTAATTTCAAGCGATTTTACTCGCTTTTAGATTATAACCAAATGAATTCAGCCGTCACTGAAACCAAATACATACCAAAGACTGAGCTTCCAATGATGACTTAACACTGATTCCAATTGTCAATTCACATGCTTATCACACGTTGTCCTTTTCTTCTGTAAAATGTTTCAATGAAATACATCTTTCTTTCTAGATCAACTGATTCATCTGAATTTATTTACTCTGGTTCTCAGTTTTATTCATAACTATTTGCTGACAACTTGCTTTAGCAATCTTCCATGTTCAAAGGTACTATTATGGTCATCAATTATTTGCTTTATAATTTAATGTTTAGAGTTTACCTCATGATGATAACAACAGAGGGAGGGAGAGAGAGAGAGAAGAGAGGGAAATGAGAGGGGGAAAAAAATTCATTGATATTATTTCATCAAAAATTCTGCAAGGGAAAGGACGAGGTTATTTAGCTCATTATCGAGATGGTACACAAGACGCATGCCAAAAATTTTACTTGATGGACTTCATACAACTGAAACCATAATGTTCCAACACATTGTACTATCCTGTGAATATTACGGTTTCAGTTGTATAGAATAGTAACAGTTAGTGAAATCAATTTCATGGAAATTTATCAGAAGTAAGGAAAATAGGATGTATTGTGGGTGAAAGAATTTTCATCAGCTACTTTTAGGCAGTACCTTTGTGTTTTTCAGATGCTGAAAGTCAAAAACTGTTTGAATTTAACTAACCGATAGAATATATAGTAGATGGCTGAAAAAAGTCAACTCCCGCTAGCGACACAATTTATCGATAGTTCATTCGTCGCGAACCCTTCTATTTGTTTAGGAGCTTATATTATCTATATTTCCTGCTCTGAAACCCCATCGTAGAAGTCCAATTTTATCAGAGAGACGAGATAAGGCCGGATGAGAAGAAATTTTTTACTAATGTTCTTATTGAGCTCTTTTACCACTGCCCACTCTTCAACACTTTCCGCAGCAAAGCAAGCTCCATTCCCGACATTGCAAACTGGATCAGACAGATACACAACCTATATCAAAAAGACAAGATGAAGTTGTCTGAGTTCCTCTTTCTTCTGGAAATACTGTCATTTTTCGACTATCAACCATACAACTCTCCATCAAAGCCAATTTAGGCTAAATAAATTTCTGACAGGAGATGTGTGAGACTGATTTTACTGGGATTTACTCTTTCTATTGCATTACAAACAAAAATTGTTTGCCACCAATTCCATGCAGTGAAGCGATCAGAGGTGATCATTTCAAAAGAGCAGAAAGATGAGGAAACTGTTGACTAATAATGCAAACTTGGGATTAAAAAGGCTAGAAGTATTAAATGAAGTTTGGAAGAACAACTCAAAAAATTCGTCATATGAAATCTGTAGGTTAGTATTTAACCATAGTTAGACATTAGTTAGTTTCAAATGTGATTTGAGCGTTTCATTATTTATAATAGATTGGTTCTATTATTTTATTATTGCTTGAGCATAATAAATCCATCATAATCCAGTAGAGATGCTTCTAAGTTTGAGAAGACTAATTTACTCTGTTGATCTCACTTGACGCTATATATATATTCATTTACACATATTAGGCATGGCATGGATCTTGACTTCCTTATTTTCGTTTTCGATTAGCAAATGAAAGCCAGAATAGGTGAAGTTTGATGTGATTTCTTCTAGTTCACTGATGGAAAACGTTTTAGTTCCAGAGCAAGTTTACTTACTGCTTACTTACTAAAACAATTCCGCTTATTTCGAAATGTTGCCTCTCTTGCTCGATACATTCCTGTTTGTGACTATTCGACTGCAGAATCTAACAACGAGGGTTTTCTCCTGTGAAGGACAAATGGAGTAAGTAAGGAAATATTTTGACACGACACCAAACGCATATCAGACACCTGTTCGCAAGAAATTACTGCGAGTAGTTGTTAATCGAAGCGGTGCTAGTGCGCTAAAATTATTTGGAGTTTTCTTCGGAACAGAAGGGGCAGAAGTCGAAGTGAAGGAACGAAACACCACATCGGAAAGATCCAGATACGGTAAGCAATATCTAAAAAGCTAACGAAAAACTCCTTGTCATTAAGCATCAAGCAACAGATACGATTCTTCTTATCTCTCACTGTACAATTATACAGATCAACGATGAGCATGCGTGCATCTCGGCAGAATTGTGCGTGCCAGAAATACCTTCTCTTCTCTTCAGAGGAAAATAAGCACAATTTGTACTGAACTTACAGCCACTTTACGTAGTAGTTGCTGGAGCAGCTATTACTGCATCAGCAGCTACTACTGCAGCAAGTTAATTCAGGACAAAAGGAGGTAGGTAAGCCATTGTGCGAAGAATAAGGCCTCTTCGTCTTCTTCCTATGAGGTAATTTTCTCGGTTAACAACAAACCACCAATGATTGATTACTCACACTCACTTGTCTCCTTCCTCTGATGTTATATTAACTGACTAAAAATATGGCCAAAGAGGTTTTATTTTCGTTTGCATCTGCAGATGAAAGCCATTCAAGCAATCCATTCCATTCGCAAAACAATTTCTCACAAACCTCAAACATGAGAAGACCACTTATCTTTTCATACTTTTTCAAGATTTCAATTTGGTTAAAATGGTCCGAAATGACAATTTAAAATCATTATGGGTTCTCATGAGCCAATCCTCGGCATTTACCTGGGCAATATTGGCTAACAACTGCATTGCTCCATACCAATTCCACAAATTCACAATAACAGACAGCGCTGTTCTCATTTCAAACAACAATTGAATAGGACCCAACGCTCGGTTCACCTTGGCTGTTTTTCACTTCCTGTTAATTGCCCTATTTGTATCGAGGGCTTCTCAATCACTCACTCATTACCAGCCTAGTTTATTTCTGCAATCCCCAGAATGACCCCGTTTCAACAAATTCATACCCCAGCTTTAGCGCGGTCATTCTGAGGATTGCAGGTGTCGGACAATTCCCATTAAGCGACGGACTCAATTTTTCACCACTTTGTGCCAAAAACATTACATACATTAGTCCTGTCACAAACGCCATATTTATCTTTTAAGGGCATACTTTATAGAAGAAAAACACTATTCTTTCTTTCTAAAGCATACCTTACTCTCGATAATTTCTGAAGACCAAAATTACAAATGGAAAAATAAATTGGTTATGCGAAAAATATTTGCCGGTTCTGGTTGAACGAATTTTCCTGGATACAAAGAGCCAGTTAGCTGGCGTAATTCTCTCCCTCAAATACTAGAAACTCTGCTCCACTGGACTGCTGCCTCCAGAAATCAGGTACACTGGACCTATGCACAAATGGCCTACTAGCTAACCGCTGTGTTACTTACTATTTCTGCCATCCAACCATGCAAACATTCCTTTTAAGGCCCGACACTCTAAAGACTTCCCCTGCCAAATATGAGGTCGGTCTTCTTGAACACACATTCATTTCAAAGATCGCTTCGTGCAACAACAACAAGCACTGGTTCGATCACACACTCTCTGACGCATCCGTCCATCCATCCACCCTTTTGCTCATTCTCAAATTGCTTTTCCATCGGTAGAAGTTCTACAAAGCCCACCAACAGGTGCCTCATTATCAGAAGATGTGCACTGATAGGGGTGATTGCATGGCACGCGTTCCTCACTCGTTATCACTTTTTCGTTTCTTCCTTTCAACAGTTACGTACAATGATGTTACTGAACCATTAAATTTAGCAGAGAACCAGCGATGGCCCGTAATCGACATACCGATGACATTCTCAATGTCAACGTTGGCGGCAAACGATATACAGTTCGGCGGACCGATCTACTGGCAGACCCGAAAAGTAAATTGGCGGAATGGTTCAAACCTGGTACTGTAAAACAGATTGCTACCGATAAAGGAGGTTGGCACGCCTAAATTTGAACTTGACAACACTGTTTCATTTGAACCTCGAGTTTGTTAAATGTGTGAAGCTCTCGAATAGGAGGAGCAATGTACGTGCTAATGTATTCATCAAAATCCAGAATTTCAGGCAATTATTACCTGGATCGCGATCCGAAATCTTTTCGGCACATCCTTGCATATCTACGACTAAAGAAAGAAAAATTTGTTCTATCACTGGCATTACCTGCAAAGCCGGATGATTTGGCAAAGTACATCGACAGAACTGTTGCCCGATAACAGATTTTATGCTTGCTGTCTTAAAAACATGACAAACATGATTTCATTACTTCAAGCCAAAATCTCACTCATTATCAATAAGTTGCTAATTTATCGGGGCATCTACAGTAATCAGCCATTAATTTTAATTTCTGCCAGAAATTACCAAAAATTTGTATATTTAGATTGGTTGCTGAATGTGAAGCATTGAATATGACTGAGCTAAAAAATTTAGCACTTGATGTTTTGCAAAAATACCAGCGTACAGAAGAACAGCACTATGTGACAAGTTATGTACAAATTGCTCTTCGTGATTACGAAACGTGGCAGTTTGATCATGAACAGGTGATTTTATTTATCTCATAAATTCATAAAACGTGTAGACGGTCGAGCAGAAGCGTATAACGATAAATTTGAATCAAATGCACCATTTGGTGATGGCAGCACTAACAACGATATTATGGAAGAATAATCTATGTCACTGAAGTTTAAATATTTTGAAATTGTTTAATAACTTTTACAGAATTACAGAGTACCATAATCAAGAAAGGTAAAGGAGGAAATGCGGATATGGCGTCGGCAGCGGTTGCGTCGGCTTACGATGAATGGGACAATATGTGAACGGTACGGACATCATCTGAAAAATATTCCTTCATTGCTTATATCTTAGAACAAGGATATCATATCATAATGCAAATTTTTACTCAAAAGCTCTCAACTATCTCCGTTCAAATATGACATTCGCTCAGAGATAAAAGACCTGCTCTTTTATAAACACTTCGTTTCTTGAAATTCTATTCACTTTGTCACGCTATCAGAGCACAATCGATTGCCATTAAAATCCATCTTAATAAAACCTGCAGTTGTTTGAAATCCAAACAAAAATTAAAATATATCTTTCATTTAAAAGACGCTGCGCTACCTCTTCATCCGAACAACTCATGAGCTATGCAGACTGATCATCGTTTCGCATCTCACTTATTGCACATGACCTCTGCTATTGAGGGTTATAATTGTGTAATAACTTACTCAGAATAATCAGTTCGATTGGGATGTAATGTCTAAAAACATGGTGGATACTTCCACTTCATTATCATTGCTTGGAAAGCAATGATAATGAAGTGGAATGTCGCCAACACAATAACAAAAACAAATGTGACATCGTTGAAATGAATCATTTATTGCATTCTCCTTAGTCATTTACGTCTCCGGACACTACTTCAGAAATTAAATCTGTCAAAAATAAGCATATGATCATCCCTCTATTGCATCACTCTGCGGAGAAATAATATTGAAGTTACAAAATTCTTAAACGTTAACCTTAGGTTATACTTTAAAATTTGTTGGAATTATTCGTCGCAGTCAAAATGAAATCACTCCAATGAATTATTGACATCACTAGATCATGTCAGATGTCTTCGATTATTATTTCTCACTGATAATATCAAATCAGCGCACTATCACATACCCTTAACCATTGTGGTCAATTGATTGAACTTTGACGAATCGAATGTTTTTCATTACATTATATGAGTAGTGTATTTCTCAAATTTTTGCATATTTATTTATTACATTTTAGTCAAATTTTCAAATATGTTTTAATCTTTTCCTTGGATTCATTGCTTCTTAAGGAATTAGCAGAGGTGAGCATCGTTTTCTGCTGCGGCTAACTGCAAAATCAATGATTTGATTCAGAAAAAAGTTCCTTTCCCCAACTGAATAAAACGATCACGATCAGTATTGAACAGATTTCTATCTCGTTGATAATCAAACATATCTCATCTCAAGTGCTGGAGTGGAATGTTAAGGAAAGCATAATTAAAACCAACAAATAACATTAAAATACTGAAGCAAAGTTTCAAATAGATGTGCTGTTATCCTAACTGCAAAACTTCAAATGCACGTCGATCAGTTGCTGAGTTATACTTTGAAAAATCTTCTCTTCTTTTTTTCACAGACTTGGAAACAATTACTTGAGAGAACAATTTTTCGAAAAGCGATAAAAATCTGTTCGAGAAAACATTCTACTGAAAGAGACTATTAAGCCCTCAGAAACTCAACTCTTGACACTACACAACGTCATTATGCTCACCTGGATTTGAAGAAAAATTAATTTTGATTTTGTTAATCGACAAAGAAAGATAATTCATAGAAATTATTGTATACAAACTATCACTGTTTATTCTCGCAAAAGAGTCTTGCAGTTGAATTGTATCTCTTCTAAGTCGTTCTTGAAGTTAACTTTGAATCAATTTCAACTTGGTTCGATTAAAATTAATGAGCTGCAACTGAGTAAATCTCGTCTTGTCCGGTCTCTGCGATCAAATCCGCGATGCATAATAAATTTCAGCATGCATTGCAGCCAAAAAATGTGTGGATGAACTGAATCTCCTAAGTGCATAGAAGTATCAATCAGAGAAATAACGAGAAGTAATGAGAGGTTCAGAATACATTATCAGGCTCAAGGCACCAATCATTCATCACCTGATCAGCAGGTGCATTTAAGCTTGGCTGTTATTACAAGCTTTCTTAGAGAAATCTTTGGATGACGTACTTACCTTAGTAAACAGAATTGGTAAGGATTAAAATTAAAATAAACGTCATATAAGCGGAACTATTAATAATATGAAAGTAAAAACTGATCTGTTGTTGACAGAATTTTACAAAAATGACTTTTATACAGACAAATGAGTGTTGCTACTTGTACACTTACAGCATTTTCGAAAAGTGCAAGAATTTAGCCAAATATTACTATGTAGGAGCTACAGTACTTTCAGATTGCCTCACGTATATGGGAAGTGATCATAAATCATAAACGGAAATGTGTTCTTAACCATTCTGTAAGTGAATTTATGTAAATCTTTTCCAGACAATTCAATTCAATAGCTTTATTCGATTGGAGAGTTGCAATGGGATAAATGGAAGCGGGCGAACTGACCCGAACCCGAAGGAATGACAAACCTCATCGGACAGGTGTCCATAAGGGTAACATGTGAAATTTCAGAAAAGCAATGGATACTATATGTGTGCCGATCAGAAAAGCAACTGGACGCATTGCTTCATGAAGCTTGGCTGAAGGACTAACAGAGTAAGTACAGTGATCAGTTTTACTAGGATGAGTATCGATCAGTTATAAACGATCAATTGTTGACTGTTATCGGAGAGTGGAGCCGAACCTTCTGCCGGGCCGATTTTACTCTCCGATACTTGATCACTTGATCACTGCATTCACCACTCAGTCATTTGATGGGAAATTCTATCGTTGGAAAGAGGAATCATGGAAAAACGTGTTAAAGTCGATTCTTTTCACTTTCTATCTGATGGTGATTCAGAAGGTTTGTTCGGAGAGAATTTTGCATAATGATCAACGGGACATCGAACATTTTCTGCTTCCTATAATTGCTGATGCATCCTTACTATTAAGGATGGCGAATATTTTACTTGTCTCCTCCTTGAAACTGTACTATCAAAAGAAACTTCAATATATTTCACATCTGCACTAATGCTTCATCACCTCTTCTTTTGTAATGATCAGCAGACGTAAGGTCCTTTAAGAGGTTATTGTGGAAGAAGCAACGACAAATAGACTGCTTTATTTGGGATCAATGATCTGTGACTACTGAGCTATTCACCGGCCCGCTTCGGCTCTACGATTTTCACTTTTGATTTCATTAAAGGTTGAAGTAAAATTCGAAAGGAAAGCAGAAATGGAAAGCGTTGCAACACTTCCGCAGCAATATCCCCTTGTCGATACAGCATAATGACAAGGATGTCCAACGTGGAGGTATAGCTCACCAACTTCAGGTATGCATTGTACAGATCCGCGTTTTCCGCCTTCAACAGTTTAGTGCAATACGCTGCCACGTTTGGTAGGACGAGAAATGCTGCAACGATAGCATATTCCGATAACTGCATATCACGTCAAAGAATCACATGGCTGAACAAAGGTGTCTATCCTCTGCCTATTGCATTAACAGAGGTTGTGATGTATTAAACCTACGTGTCCAACGAGGACAGGCTAGCTCGAGCCAAAAAATGTGATAAATTATATAAAGTTGGCTTTATCGATTGCATGTCTAGACGACTCTTCGTTGCAATCAGTCTCACCTATCAGATGATTACATCCTTTGTT